GCCTGTATCGCTTCGAGTAAACATTCTTCTTATTGGGAAGCTTACTTTGTTTATTTTTCTGCATATTTGATGATGGTAACTCAATTAGTGGCAAATTTCTCAAACACATAGGTAGCGTCGTTTTGGTTTTACACCGTCCAATTGGTTGACCTTGTAGTTTACCTTCTACGGTATTGCAGTTTGATTTAGAATTCTCACATTGATAATCACGAATACTATTAGAATTGTTACTGACTTTACTCTGTAGTTTATCACTTTGATATCCATGTGATAAACAAAACTGTTCATCCAGTAGAACAACTGATTTATTACAGGGGTTTTCACTGATTTCGTTTTGTTTACTAATTGTATGAGTATTTGATTGTTCTCTGTTCGCGATGGTTGACCGCTCATCTGTTGTTATATTTTGTATATTTTGCATGTTAATCATTTGACTATGAATGTGCTCAATCGCTTTACTGTTCTGGTATACAGGGTGTCTCAAAAAAACCCAAAATCATTGAAATAACGTATTGTTCGAATTTCAATGCCGTAACACAAAGGATTTTGACAGGGTGATTAATTTGTTTTAAAAAATTAAAATATCTTTGTAAAGTGAACGTTTGTTTGCTCATGGGAATTTAAAAATGCTTCGTAAATTGTAATATGCGTAATATGCATTCGTGGGTTTAATACTTTATGCCTGACATAACAAGTTTACGCTGAGTATTACCATTCATTATAGCAGTTATGTCAATCTTTTATGCACTCGTGGGATTAACTTAGTGCTAGGGCATTGAATATCGAACAATACGTCAATTTCAATGAGTCTCGACTCCGTTATTACGGCATCTAACTTCACACCTTCGAGTTCAATAGATAATTCGTTACACTTCCTCATATTTTCGCCGATATCCTTAGCAGAAATTGACTGGGCATTTGAACCAGACGCATTCTTTCCTAACATGCAATTTCCACAGGAAACCGGGGTTTCATTTATCAATCCACTTATAGAATTGTAAACATTGTTTGTTAAATCAAACAGACGATCAATTTTCTTGAGAGCATCTCTCATTTCTTCAGACAAATGATCACAATTCTGGTTTTGTGTTTGAGAGGCACAATCCTGTGTTATAAGACTATTATTACTTTGATCGATTTCGATGCATTGCTTCTGTCCGCTGGTGTGGCTAACATCGGAAGGCTGGCAAACACTATTTACTTCAGTTATTGAGTCAGAATTGTGGGAACTGACACCGTCACATGCAGACATTAGTTGTCGAAGTTGTGCATACCTTTAAGTTGTCTTGAAATTCGTCAAGTGTGCTCGACATACACGCCTAAATCAAGCATTCCTTTACCAAATTGCCAGCCTTTCCACGAATAGTAAAGAACTCAATTTTCCAGGATACCATGTACATGATAAATCAAAGTTAAAGCTATCAAACTTCTTTGAATTGCCCCCCTGGCGACGACCATTTACCTCGCTGGGCAAAAGCATATTCGATACATTTCTTCAGCGATTCGTGATCAGCAGACCATCTAATTCGTTCGCCATCGTAATATATCATTTCGGCAGTTTTATATTTGTAAATTTCTTTCACATCCCAAACGGTGGTCATTATATTTTCATCGGGGACGGAGCTCATACAAACAGAACCCACCGCCATGTTGTGATATATGTGACGAAATTTAAATACTTCTAAACTTTTTCAACTCTAAAATGTTTGAATAAAGTTAGAAAAAATATCCAAGGTGTTTTGTACCTAGTTTTTTCTTCAGAAAGTAGCGGTTTTTATTGTTGTTTGAAGCGAACGTAATAGTGTGTGTGAATGTTTTTAATTTGTAAAAGAGTTGCCAGCGGATATTATACATTATTTTTCACCGTGCTCGGTTTCCTTTGTTCTTGTCGGGGAATATATTCAATATTCCACTCTAATCAATTTCCGTTTAATATTCACCTGCAATGTCTTTGCAGCAAAAAAAATGAGAAAAAACAACATCGCGAAGGCAAAATGGCATTAAGAATTATTTCTTTTCTGACTCATTAACGCGACCTCGCAGTGTGAAAAATAAGTACGTTATTTTGAGGCACCTCGGGGATATGTGTTTGGCCTGATTCCACGAAGGCCTGATTCCACGAGGCGGAATTTTTCGACCGAAACGAAATTTCTCTTTGTCTTTTTACAATTAGTTCTGCTCGAGAGCTCTGAAACAAAGAGAAATTTCGATTCGGTCGAAAAATTTCGCCTAGTGGAAAACCGCCTTAAATCACATACATATACATATGAGAATACAACGACATAAGCATCGGAATTTGCATGTATAATGAGCTACACAAATAAATCGCTTGGTAGCAAATTGAGACGAACTTTATACGTATTTTTAAGCGTTTAATGCATTTTTAATTGAATACACATTTTGCTGGGCTGCCTATGGTTATTTACAAAGTCCGGTGTGGATATAGGCCTACACTCAGAGTAACATCACAAGCATGCATCATATTCACCTGAGTACATTACACCAACACAGAAAATAAGCCGCAATAAGTTTCTGGTGTGTTCACACGTTTTCCTTTGATTTTGAAAGATCCACATAGTAATCTTAAAACATCATTAATTTGTATTAGATAATCCGAATTTGTTTTAGCTAATGACCTGCATAAATCTTTAGTTGACCATGCACATATTTTTCCTTGCCAAAGATTGTTGCTGTGTACTCGAGTATGTGTTTTCGACAGTGTTCTTCCACGCAGATTTGCTTGGATATTGTTCAGATAAATATACAATTTGGTAGAAAGTCCAGAAGATCACATTTGAAAAGAATTCGTACAATATCTGAAATAAATCTTTTGAAGGTGTTTGTACGGTTTCATTTCCAAAAGGCGGCCTTGACGTGAGATAAAGGTTTAACAATAAATTCCATGCACACGAGCAACAAAAGTTCTCACTGAGAATTTGCCACGTAAAGCGTGTTTACCGTACACACGAGAAAGTAAACTTGCCAAGGGAACTTAACAAAAAAACAAAATTGCTCGTCTGTTGTCAGCTTTTGTCTATAACTATATAACATGACCAAAAAATTTAACAAGAGAAATTTCTTTCATTCATAACATTATACTCTTCCAATTTTTTATTACCTTCATCAACGCTAGAAACGAGGACTTTTCCAAAATGACACCACAAATCAGCCATCAATTGTCCCTCATCCCTCAACTTTTGCAAATTTTGTAATGGCGTCAATAGATGGTCTTTAATTTCCGAGACAGTTTTCTCACTGATCTCACTCTGAAATAGACACGAGGTTAACTCGGTATTCTGTAATCACATTCATTAAAGACAGAGGTGCATGCATGGAGGTTGATTAGTACCACGTGAAGGCAAACAGATGCGTAGTTAGGAACAGGCCTTAATTATTTTTATTTAAGATATATATATATATATATATATATATATATATATATATATATATATATATATATATATATATATATATATATATATATATATATATATATACGTTTTCTAAATCATCTAAATTCTATAGGTAATTAATGTACAACCTTGGGAAAATCGTGACGTCCAGTAAATTGAACAATATATAATGTTTAACATATCAACGAGCATTATTTTCGTGTTTTAGTTATTTTCGTGTAAATACGATTGCGCTTCTATAGTTTAATTAGCAATGACACCGGTCGAAT